TTATAAAGAAAGGCTGGCGCTGGGCAAATCACCTTTAATTAATCATAATTTGTATTAGGTGTATCTCTCAGGTTAGTACCCGCCGCGCTGTGATCAGACAATTTTGAGGGTCGTATTCTCCCATACTGTAATTGCTGAAAATCTGGAGGTCGCGAATAATCCAAATCTCAACAAAAACAAGGGTAGCACGGTGCGAGGCGATAGATGATTCGAACTCCACGTGATAGAATATCAAAGCAGATTTAATGACAGATCCTTAAAGTTCATAACAATAGTAGTCGCGTGTACAACAATTCAATGTAATAGCAATGTTCGTAGCCTAGTTACGACGTAACAAAACGTAGACGTAGACGTAGACGCAGCTAAACGTAGACGTAGCTAAACGTAGCTAGACGTAGATGTAGGTTCGAACTGAAAGCGATAATTAAAGAATACGAACTACTTAGATTAACCCTAAAATTAGGACTAAAGGGTAGAATAATCTAAACGACATAAAACTATGATGCAAGAAGCAGACAACTGAAAAATCCGATAATTGATACTTGAGCTAATTAACCGAGACAATAACATTTAACTCTCAGCGTGAATAAAACAATCAAAAAACTATATCGTAGCCATTCCGCTTGAACAGAACTTATCTTAAAAACACTAAACTAGATTATATAGAATACTTTGGTAACAGTAACAATAATCAATACTGTTTGATTCCAGCAGATTTGTCTTCAAATCAATGTCCTTCTCATGAGATAGCGGAAAGACTTGATAGTTCCACGAATTACAGTACTAAATAACTATAAGAAAATAAAAGACTTACTTTGGTCGACGACTCGCACCAAAAGTAGCAAAAAATAGCAATCTAGCAGCAGCAAAATATCTTCTGATAGCAACTCCGATGATAGCGGGATAACTGATAATTTCTAGTATTGCGTTGCCTCTTTTATAATAGAGTATACGTCAAGAGACTATAAAGGGGACAGAAAGGGCATCCCCCATATACACCCTATTCCATAGGTAATTCGTCTCGAGTTATTTTTAGAATCGGGATAAAGTTACCTCGCGCGAGGCGTGGATGTTTCGTGGAGGTTTCGCATGACCAAACGCCGTGCAAAACATGTCGGGCGAGAGGCAATGAAAGCGTAAAAAGATCGAGAGCATTCCTGAATATTGAAGCGAAATGAGTCGGCGCTCACCTGGGAAAAAGGAATCGCTGGACTCTTTGACAACCCGTGAAATCAGTTTAACTCGAAGTTGTCGTAACCTCAGTGCTTTAATAAAATGAGAAATTTCGCCGGTCTATTGAAACCGGTCGTTTGTACAATTTAGGGAGTTTAAGATCCAACGACGCGGACGACAACTAGAAC